AAACTCCCGTATAAATCTATACACAGCATGAAATATTTAATAAAATTCTTTGCAAATATATAGGTTACATACAATTTAATGGGGTATCAAACATGATGTCACATTATTATTATATTCAATTGAAATTGATGACAATATGTTATATCACAACAATAAAGTGGGACGTAGATACTAGGTATCTTTGTAAACGAGAGACAAATTTTGTTCTCCAAAATAGAACAAGGGAAATAAATTCGATGATCATCTTATCCATGCTCATAAAATTCCTTTATCTACTGTACCTAAATAGGAAAACCCTACTAGCATATTTTCATATAATTTCCTACAGCCGCGTCATCCAAGTCTGCTAGCATCCTCCTCTGTCGACTCGGTTACTAAACTCTCACCAAATATCACGGAGTAGATCAAGAGACACCAATAGGCTCCCACTCCGGGCAATTGATGCATGCATCAGGAAACTGCTAGGCAAATGAATGGTCGACTGATGATAGTATATATATTGACTTCCTCTAGGCATCTGTTGGTCACAAACTCACAATTTAGACTTTATTTGGATGCATGCGTATCCATTTTAATTCACATGCGTTGGAGTGGAATGAAATGAAATTTAGTTTAATTTCACTCCAATCCATTTCAGGGCTTGTTTGGATGCATGTGTATTCACTTCGATCCATATGTGTTGGAGTGGAATAGAATGAAACTTAGTTTAATTCCACTCAAATCCACTTCAACACGTGTGGATTAAGATGAATATATGCGCATCAAACGGGGCCTCAACACGTATAGATTGAGACGAATATATTCACATCAAACATGGCCTTAGGTGGCCCGGGCCATCTCCCCTCCCCATTCGTCTCCGGCGGTGGGCACATCAAGGCGGCGATAGTGCTGCCCCACCGGACAAGACGGGGATGCAGCGTCGAAGTTTATGGCCATGGCCCACACGCACGGCGATCGTGAAAGCATTTCCACATTAGTGCAGGCTACAGCCATGCGATTAAAGATGGCAACGGGCCCCGATACCCGATACCCGACGGGTATTTGATTTATTAGGGGACGGGGATGGGATCATATCTTTACCCGCGGGCATCTAAATGGGCAAGAATCCATCCCCGACGGGTATAACGGGTACGGGAACGTTCCCTGTTTACCCGTCCCCGTTACCCGTTGGGGAACCCGACTATTTGAGCTGTCATGCGAGTATTAGGCCCAAAGAAGCTCAATATAGATATTTTGGCCCAAATCTGAACAATCATATATATAGTTTATGTTTTCTAGAAACCCTAGTTCAATTTTTTCACCATCTCCGCCAGCAGCACAAGCACGCCTGCCTCATGAGCACTCGTGCCCCTCACTTCCTCAGTTCGGTCTCTCTGTCACCTTTGCTCATCCTCCTCGCAACCTCGCTCATTCTCCTCGGCATCTCCGAGACTCCGACACTTATACCCGGGTGAAGAAGAAACGTCTCCGATTGTAAAGCTGCGACCCCAAGTGTCCTTGTTTATCGGGTATGCAGTACCCGTCGGGTATCTGTTACCCGACCGATGCCCGACGGGTACGGGGATGGGCAAGAATCTATACCCAAGACAGTTAACGGGGACGGGGACAGGATGGATTTTCCATAGCGGGGAAGAGAATGTTCCGGCGATACCGACGGGTACATCCCGTTGCCATCCATACATGCGATGGTCAGGGTGGGAACGGCGGTGCAGCGCCGGCGACATATGCGAACAAACAGGACCGGAGGGGGCGATTATATTAGCGTGGCCGCGTGCACGCTGGTGGGATTTGTCGCATTGTGGTTGTGACATGTGCACAGGTGGGCATCCTCGACCTGAAATTAGTGACTGCATCTGTGCTTGGTGTGGCTGCTTGAAGGTGATGGTGCGGCAGTGCCATGGCGGCTGGGCACCGGCCACCGGGGTCGTGCTGGTGTCTGGCCAAACCGCAGCTACATACAGTGCAGAAGTTGAGGCCATATTACGGGCCACAGAAGTCGCTGGTGCCTAGATTCATGAACGGAGGCTCTCTACTTCTACGAGGCTTCGTGCTGTGGGTCATGGACTACGAAAAATGGCATGCAGGCAAGTGGCGGCTCTATCTGCATCAGCAGGTTGGTTTGGGCAGCCATGCATGCCTGCCGACGTGCAGGGTCAGCAGGTTTCTATGCGCATATGTGAAGGAGGACAATGCACATATATCCCCGTGCGCTCCTAATATTTTTATTTCTGATTTTCATTCATATTGTTGTTGTGGCAGCACAAAACAACTTTGTTTAACATCTTGATGTAAATTAGTATTAATTAGTAGTTTTGAGGTATAAATACAACCATGATTTATGCATTGATGATATTTTCCAATTAATTTATGTGCTCAAACATCCTTTAAACTATTAATCTTCTCTACCAGTTTAGCAGCATTATACATCCATATTATAACTTCATTTTCTAACACAAAATCTTGCAGGGGCTATTCTACCTATAGTTTCCATGGAAAATGTTAAAAAATTCCCGCAGCAACGCGCGGGGTATCATCTAGTTAACTAAGTGTTTGATTGCTACTTGGTTCCTTCATGAAACTTGTTAGCCTTCTTGGTGGTGTCAGATTGGAGATTGAAGTATTTTCATATCTTTATTATTGAGCCGGATATTTATTTCCAATGGATTTCTAATACTGATCAACTAAATGTCACAAGGCATGTCATTTTTAAGTTGTGTGGCTGTAACATCTATAACTTAGACAAAATATGATTTTGTCATGTTTGGGAAATGCCTTGATCCTATGTAATTCATGGGGCTACTTCTTCTTGTTGTGTCGAATCTTACCATTAAAGTTCTATGGATGATATTATTACATGGCATCGAACTTGTTATGATTCTAAAAGTTCAACTGTACTTTAGGTAATAAAGCATCTCTATGACGCTAATGATGATTCCTCAACAAAAGTATCATACACTTGGACCTAAAGTATTGTGGGAATTAATCCAGAATACATATGGTAAGTTGGGAGCAATTTAAAACACAATATGGAGGATATTTGAGGAACAACATAATTCTATTTTCAAGTGGACATAAAGTTCTAGAGATAATTTTGTGGCCAATCATGGTTGGTATTTGGACAAAATTATTGCCATATGTTGTTCATATCACTCTCTGAGAGCTAGCCATATAGTGCATCAATTTATATCCATTGAGATACACATATTTTGTGATCTGGATGTATCTAGTACATTTTATAGGTTGTTTTTAGCCCAAGGATGATCTCTGTTATATATTTTGCATTTTTTGCAATAAATTTATAGGATATTTGGGACTAAAAACATAAAAGGCTAAAATATGGTACCGATGTTTGGACTATTTCATAACCTTACACTGCGGGATTATTTCACCTAGGGGGAAATCCATCGCTCGCCCTTGATCTTGGATGTTGACCATGGAGGTCACAGTCGGTGTCCAGTTAGTAACGCTACACCTCCAAAAGGTCGATGTCATGGGCATTTTGGCATGCCAATGGAGCTTGTGATGTTAGGGAACATGTGGGTTTGATTAGTAGAGGTCTGCACCATGACATGGGTGTCGTTGTTCGGGGCATGAAAACGTTAGTGGAGGTGCGACCAGTGAGTGCATGAAGACTCATGCCACAAACGTCAATGGTAGGAAACGCAATGGTGACACATCACAGAGATCAAATTGGCATCAATTAATTAATGAATTAAGAAGCCAAATTGCGTACCTCGTGATATAGTTGATGGATTTACATGTTATGGATCCGCTATAGAGTGCGAACCATGTCATGGATACTTGCACCATGAAATTTAATTAATGGCAGCGATGAAATATTGCCTATTCCATTGTTGGTGAAGTAGACTTCATTAGAGTCCTTCCGTCGTCTTGTGGACTTCATCTTCTTCTATGGAATGACCTCTGCCTCTCCCTTTCGAGTGAATGTAGATAGAGCGAAGCAGTGCTGATAACATGTTAAATTATGAAATGTAAATGGAATAATAGAAAGGAAGAACTTGTGTTTTGCATTGATCCAAGGACCGAATATATATACAAGGTGAAGTAGTGCGGTGAAAGAGTGTCTTATCATCGAAGGACAAGACAACAATTCCCACTCTCTGTGCCAAAGGATATACCCCTTTGAATGGCCATGTTAATTGTCTAATTTAGTTACTAACACGTACTCTAATCATGATAAGATGTCTACTCGAAGAGCCACCTGTTTCACAACAAAAACCACTTCTAACAAGGTTGGAGACAATGTAAATGATTCGAAGATGTCAGGAGGTAAGATATCCGGTTTTTTAGTTCAGCGAGGAAAATCAGGAAAACAGGTATTCTTTTCCTTTTGTTTGTTCATGTAGTTTTGGATAGTGGCACAGTAGCAAATAAAAATGGGTAGTCAGTTATTAAGAGGGTATCTTTTGATAGGGTTAATCAACATAGATTAACCAACCTTTTACATGTTGCCATCCTGATATCATATTTAAATTACGAGCTTATGAAGTTATCTACCCGTGATTGTCTAAAGATGAAGATCCATAAATTCCACGGACCAAGGATTAAAAGATGACAGTGACAGTGTACTGACCAAAAAAAAAAACTTTCACAACGAAGCACAAGTCCACTAAAATTGACATAATACATATTCTAATCCGAGATACAAACATTTTACTACAACTACCCGAAGTGCAAGTTCAATACAAAAAGTGGAAACATTTTTGGCCATCAAAACTTGAAGTGCAATCAGCTAGGTTCCCTCTTCATGGGCATTCCCCGAAGTACAGAAAAAAATGCAACATCTCGATGTTTTCTAACACTATGGTTTCAGAGACGCACGGATATAGCACCTTGATAAAATCATCTTATCCTTTTTTTTTGAATTACACAGTACAACACGAACGCTCATAACACGCACACACAATCACCCCGATAAACACACGTAAGCAAACCCTACCCCTATGAGCACCTGTGCAGTTCTCCAAAAGGCCGTATAGCTAGGGATCCTCCTTGTCAAGTTTACCTAGTGCTCGTTGGGCAAACAACTTCTCCTCTCGAGCTTTTTTCTTAGCCAAAGCTTCCTCATCCAACACTTGGATAGGTGACCACTCGGGTAGCGTAAACCAGTCTTTCTTTCCAGACAAATGTTCTTTTAGGGCATGCCATTCTGGGCCCAACTTCAGTGCAGCGTAGTCCAATGCGGTACCGGCAGCTGCAAAGGTGACTGCATATTTCACTGCTCCGAAGTGTCCACCTATAATTAAAGCAGTCCACGTCAAGTAATGGCGAGGGATCACATTTAGAAAATTGAATTCAAATGAGCCAGTGTATTTCTCCATCAGCAATTCAAGATAGCACAGTTTCTTTTTTTTGCCTCTGGTGGAACATTTGAAAATCTAACACACAGATTCCAAAAATGACCGCAGTTCTAAGAACATTCACAGCAAGCTCCATAGAGATCCAATCATCTGACACTGAAGACGATTAGCATTGACTAAATACCAACACACAAGAGCGCATTCAGTTGCATACCTACATCCAGTACACAGATGAAAACAGGCAAGAACATTAAAGTTCAGCTGAAGATTAAGGTCTCGTTTGGTTCCACTCCGAGCGGCTCTGGCTCCGGCTCCGCATCAAAACAACTCCGTCTCCAGCAAAATATACAAACGTGGAGAAGCCGCAGGAACCAGTGTTTTTTGGGCTCCGGCGGCTCCAATATAGTGATACATTACTGCTACAGTACCAGAGCCGTATCCACAAGGAGCCCCTCCAAACAGGCCCTAAATTTTGGCAAGTTCAGAACCAGGACACTAACAAATACTCCTATTCGAAATTGTAAGTTGTCCTGCCTTCTCTAGATACAAGCTTTTACTATGTATCTAGAAATAATATATATCTAGGTGCCTAGCAAAAGCTATGTACCTAGAAAAGCCAGAACGACCTACAATTTGGAATAGAGGGAGTAACAATTACTAATTTAAAGTAAAAAGATTCACTCTTACTAATAAAGGTGATCCACTATAGTAGCATTATTGTCATAAATTAACATTTAACTAAAACTAGCGAATTCACACTGGCTCAATCTAGCAAAACAAATACTGATTGATCTCAAAGCCCATCCCATACAAAACCATGCCTACACTAGTATTTGAATCACATTAGAGCGCAGCAACATTCTAATCAATCTGAAAGTTTAAACATGAGAAATAAACATAAAATCTGGAAATCAACTATAATCTACATGCAGTGTATGCCAACTACTAAATTAGTTATTTGTGTGTGCAGAGGGCACTTAAATTTGGTAATAGCAGCCTTAATAGTACACATGCAACACACCTCACCCTTTAAGTCTAATGAAACCGGTCTATGTTATTGGCCACGATGATTGATATGAGCATACATCGTATTTCTACAATCTCACTTAGACTAGAGAAATCATTGCCAGAAGTTTGTTTCGGATATTTCTGAAGTATGCACAATCAAGCTTTGAATATTGTTTAGTTACACCCAGATGAACAAACCTGACCACAATCTTCATGACAACAATAAGTGGTTTAGACTGTACAGTTTCTTCTAGTACACAAACAAACTACACAACAATAACAATGGGTTGAGACCACATTTTGAACATGAACCGAGCAATGCTATAAATACTACTCACTGTATAAATTGGCCTACCAAACTTTCAAGTATGAAGGATGGTGATCAATCTAGTAACCAACCTTGTATTCGACCAAGTACAGCTCCACTCGCTAGCCCACCAACAACAGAATTCATGGGATCACTAGGTGTTGCGGCTCGAGCATCTCTTGCAAGTTCACGTGCACCTGTATAGCAGAAATAATGTCACATCTAGACATAAAAATACAACTGCACAATGCTCAGTTATCTTGATCACTTTGAATTAGACAACAGACATTCCAAAAGTGAGTTGACTGTTTTTTTATGGAAGTTCTGAAAGTGAGTTGACTGTTAACTACATGTCCACATCCATTTCCTGATAGTGAACCCACAATATAAATGTGTCTAGGCCTTAAATATCTTGTTCTTTTTTTTCTACCAGGGGCTTTCATTCTCTTCTTCAACAAGATAAAGGAAAAAGTTTGGTTATGAGGGGCTTAACTGCATTTTCCATGCCATTGTAACAAAACACGATGATAGATGAAAGGTTGTTCTTCACTGGAACCATCTTGACAGTGTCAAAATCTCAATGAAATTTCCTTATCACATTATCAAATTACAGTTGACAAATGCAATATAAATGATAGCTTAAACATTCCAATTTTAACCATGACATACAAAAAACATAGATTGAGATAAGCCTGTGAATGCAAACCATTGACTATCTATCGCTAATATTAAAGTCAAAGTGGATTCCTCCGTTTGTCATATGTTATTTCCCACAATGCCCTCACGCACCTCTCTTTCCCGTCCATGAGGCAGACTCGCGATCCATGCTGCTCGTACGAGTTGGAACAACACGCGTCTAGCCACGTTACAGAGTACGATTTCCAAGACGTATTGGAACGGATGACGCGATCGTTGCATAAATCCCCGAGTCGCAAGTCGTCCAAGTGACGGCGCAACAAGTTGTATGTTCTGTTGCAACACAAGGACATGCTTGCTAGTTAGGTATGCTCCCCCCCCCCAACCCCCAAACACGCCACCCAAATTTTGGACTGTTGATGAATCTTCATCAAGATTTGATCTGGCGGCTCTCCGTTCTAGTTCCTCTGAATTCTGATCGTCTTCTTCCTGCAGCAGCTCAGCCTGTCTTCCACACCACCACCTCCTGAACAACACGTGGTCGGCCCCGCCACAGTCTCCTCCCTGTCATCTCTGGTAGCTCCTACTGCTCCCCATCGACACGGTAACCCGTCGAAGTGAGTTTCCAACATCTCAATGCTTCTTGCTAGACTTGTGTGGATTCATTCTTAGGCTAACCCTAGAAGGGTAGCAATGTATATTAGTCATACATGGGCCTCATGGGCCTAATACACTCATACTCTCATACTCCAACACCCCCATGCATCCTGAACTACCGTCACGCAGCCGAGTTCTGATCGGACATGAAAAAAGCACACACACACGAGCCCCCACACGCACGCAACTAGCCACCAATGATGTTGAGGCCGGAGCGAAACTCGGTGAAGGTCGATGACGGGAGGCCCTTGGTGAAGATGTCGGCAAACTGGGAGGTGGTCGGGACGTGGAGGACCCGAACATCGCCGATGGCAACCCGATCACGGACAAAGTGTAGGTCGATCTCCACATGCTTGGTCCGTTGGTGCCGCACGGGGGTTGGTGGAGAGGTACACCGCAGACCGACGTTGTCGCAGATGAACCAGCCGTGCTCGGGAGAGAGGGTCATGGAGCTCGGCAAGGAGTCTGCCGGAGCTAGAGGGCCTCGGCCCACGCCATTAGCGACAGCTTTCTCGTACTCCGCCTCTCAAGATTTGGATCGGAGACCACCAGTGGGCGCTTGGGCGACCAGACACCAAAGTTGCCGCCAGAAAAGACAACGTGGCCGGAGGTAGAGCGCCGAGTGTGTCGGACACCCGGCCCGGTCGGCGTCGATGTAGACAACGAGCTCGGTGGAGGAAGACCACCAAGGAGTAAGCCGTAGTCGACAAAGGTCCGCAGGGAGGTAATCGGAGGAGGCGCTTGAGCGCAGTGAGGTGAGGCTCTCGGGGATCATGCATGTGAAGGCATATCTGCGCACTTTGCATAGGTGATGTCTGGCTTTGTGAAGGTGAGGTCTCAAGGGCACCTGCAAGACTCCGATGGCGATGGGGGTCTGCCACGGTGGTGCCCACGGCCTCGGCGACGCCTGCCTGTGTGTCAACTGGAGTAGAGCGGGGCTTGCGATTAGTCATCCCAAAGACGCTCGAGATATCAAGAGTGTACCGCCACCGGTGAAGGAGAAGGCCGGTGGGCGAGGCTCAACAATGACCCGAGGAAGTGGTGGAGCACACCAAGATCCTTCATAGCAAACTCCTGCTTTGAAGAGAGGCGGCGACATGGTGAGTAAGGGGCGGGCCGGAGGTCAGTGAGGACAATGTCATCAACGTGAAAGCGGCAGAGATAGGCGATCTCGGCTCCATGGTGATAGATAAACAGGGGCGTATCCGACTTGGCCTCCACAAACCCGATGTCGGCAGGAAAGCGAAGAACCGAGAGTACCACGCCCGGGCTGCTTGAGGCCGTAGAGAGACTTGTTGAGCCGGCGGACCATGTCCGGACGAGAAGAGTCAACAAACCCCACCGGTTGGCTGCGCGAGACCTGTCTCGGTGAGAGTCCTGTGGAAAAAGCATTCTTGACGTCCAAATGATGCACGGGCCAAGAGCGATCGAGAGCCGGGGGAGAGCATTGTGCGTCTGGTGGCCAAGGCTTCACCACGGGCCGAAAGTCTCATCATAATCGACTCTGTATACCGAGTGAAACCCGAAGAACCCAATGAGCCTTGTACCTCTCAAAGGTACCATCACCCCGCCCGCTTGTGTCGAGATCCACTTGCCGGTGACGACGTTGGATCCGGTGGACGGGCACACGGATCCCATGTCTCGTTGATGAGGAGAGCAGCGTACTCCTCTTCCATCGCACGGGCGCCAATGAGGGTCCGACAAAGGCGTCATGAATCGGAAGAGGGTACAGGAGAGATCTGCGGGTCGTCGGGCATCGTCGCGAGAGCCCGGGGCAGCGGTACCAGCCAGCGTGGACGCGTCACCATAGGGTGAACATGCCGCGGTGTCGTTGAAGGAGTTCTGGGTGGTACACCGGCGACGCGACACGGCAGCCTCGGTAGCGGCGCGCGGTGTAGGGCCGCCGGAGGAGAAGGAGCCACCGGTGGTGTAAGGCGTCACCAGTGGAGAGGTGGACCCCGGTGGTGCCGAGGGAGGCAGCGCGCCGCCGCCGACACACACTGCCGGTAGACGTGCACCGGCTGGGCGAAACGCGCAGGAGGTGCGACAGGCGGCGTCCCCGGACCCGCTGCGGACGGAGGGGCAGGGGTAGCTCCGGAGGGCGACGCCCCGGACTGGCAGGCGGCGCAGGCGGGGCGGCGTCACTGGGGGCGGCGGCGGGGGGCACGGCCCCATGAGGGGCACGGGAAGCGATATTTGCAGGAGGCAATGATGGCGGGTGGACCACCGTGTCGATGGGAAAAGCAGAGAGAAGGGTCGGGATCGGGGGTGGAGATGGTGTGGTGGTGGTGGAGAAGGGGAAGACAGACTCATCAAACACCACGTGGCGAGAGATGAGGACCCGACGGGAGGTGAGGTCAAAGCACCGGTACCCCTTGTGATCCGGGGAGTACCCAAGGAAGACACACAGAGCGGAACGGGGAGCCAGCTTGTGGGGAGCGGTGGCAGTGGTGTTAGGGTAACACGCACACCCGAAGACACGAAGGTGGTCATACCGAGGAGGGGTACCGAAGAGAGCGTGGTGTGGTGTGGGAGCCGGGCAGGCAGCGGAAGGAAGGCGGTTAAGGAGATAGGTGGAGGTGTGCAGACTCTCGGCCCAGAAGCGAGCAGGAAGCGACGCCTGGAGCAGAAGGGTGCGCATGGTGTCGTTCGTGGTGCGAATCATGCGCTCGGCCTTGCCGTTCTGGGAGGAGGTATACGGGCAAGACATGCGCAACTGAACACCGTGAGAGAGGAAGAAGGCACGGGAGGTGCCGTTATCGAACTCACGACCATTGTCACACTGGACGGCCTTGATGGTAAGGCCGAACTGAGTAGACACCCAGGCGAAAAAGTGGAGAAGAGTGGTGAAGGTATCCGACTTTGCACGCAAGGGGAAAGTCCACGAATAATGCGAGAAATCGTCAACCACCACAAGATAGTATTTATACCCAGAAATGCTGATGACATGAGATGTCCATAGGTCGCAGTGTACAAGATCAAACACATGCGTAGCATGTGAAGAAGAAGAACAAAAAGGGAGACGAACATGACGGCCCAGCTGGCACGCATGACACAAGTGCTCATCGTGAGCCCGAGTACAACCAATGTCGGAACTGCGACTAAGTTGCGTCAGAGCATCACGTCCAGGATGGCCGAGGCGACGGTGCCAAGTGGTGGAAGGAGTGGCGACGAAGGCAGCTGACAAAGTAGACGGCGACGAAGAGGAAGCAGACGTCGGAAACCGAAGGGTGTAAAGGGGTCCCGTGCTGTCACATCGGAGAAGAGGACGCCGGGAAGCCGAATCCTTTACAGTAAGACCAGAAGAGTCAAATTCAACGAGCGAGGAATTGTCAATCAGAAACGACGAATAGAAAGAAGGTTGTGAACCATAGAGGTGCAACAAGAATGTCGAAAGAAGAAAGGAACCATGAGTGCCGACGGCGGCACCACACGACGTAATCGGAATACACGAACCATTCGCGACCATGATGGACGAAGGATGAGAGGAAGAAGGAGGGTGAATAGAGGAGAGTATACCAGGGTCTGGAGTAGTGTGGTAAGTGGCACCCGAGTCGGCAATCCAGTCGGTACCGGCAGGCGGTGTCAGGGCCATGGTGCTGAAGGATCTGGCCAAGGCCGCCGGGTTCCAACCGATAGGCCCGGGCAAGGTGTCGGGAGGTGGCACCCACGAAGATGCGCCGGGAGGTGTAGCCCACACAGACGGGGAGTGAAACCCCGGAGGAGCTCCAGTGAGCAAGGCCACTGGTGGGCGAGGCTCTCCGCCTGGAGCCGAGAAGGGCCACATGGAGATGCGCCCCAACCACGGGTTGTGGAAAGAGGGCCAGGCTGCACCCCGTGGAGTCGCGGGCGATGGTGGCTCCTCGAGGCACCGGTGTGTGGTGGCCCCCATGCCCCCGCCCCC